AACAAAATGCTCATTAATCATGACTAATGATGGGAACACATTTAATATAAATCTGACACATTTTTACATACTTGAGATAATGGTTAGAGATGCATCTAATAAGAACTTAAAGGGAATTTCATTTTAAAATTACACATCTGATATTTACGTAAATTAGCACCTAAAGGTTTTCAATTTTTGATTTGCTTTCTGTAAATCGTTATTATATTCACAGAAAACGAATCATTTGCAATCAATGAGCTAAAGCACAGCTTTGAGCCTGGAAATTTACTGTTACCTGATAGAAAACTGTAAAGGCATTTGAAAGTTAAATAAGCAACAACCAACCACTCCATAGTGTAATGGGTCATTTTCTGGGTATCTAAGTTTCAGCATCATGTCAGGACCATAAATTACATCATTAATAGTGTTCTCTAAAGCAAAATTGTTATGAAATGGCTTGGAAAGTAAGTTTAAATATTATGATGTATCTACCAGTTTCACAATGGGGATCCTCATGGTGAGAAAGGGCCATTACTTTGAATTGGCAATGCCAAATGTATTGATGCCAATTTATGAAGCAATTTGCAAAGGAATTGAAACTTGTGGCACATTTATTTTACTGCAGAAAATGATCTTCTGTTTCACAAATATGAGGGGCAAGGGCTGTAATGCACATTTCCCAGCAATTTCTACCTACCAATCATGCATACTTTGTTTTATATGGCAAATAGTAAGATATATTTGTTGACTACATTGCTCAATTAAAGGGAGAAAATTGAGACAGTGGGGGCTGGGGATATGAAAACTTTGGATACCATTTGAAATGTGTAACTTTTCAGCACAACAGAACTCAGTAAGCCAGATATATTTTCACAGCAAGTGGTAAATGGTAAATATCTGTACTTTGAACATGTACAAAATAAAAGACTGTAGAACATCTTCAGCAATAATTAAGAAATTGTACGATTTTTAAACCTTGTTCTCTGGACATGGAGTCAGTCAAGTAAAGGCAGCAGACTAAAACCAAGAATGGGGGAAGTTTAGTTATGTGAGGGATTGAGGACAGTTATTGGTGAGCAAACATCTGAAAAAAAAAGAAAAATTCTTAGGGCAATGCAAATCATCAGTCAGAAAGACATTGTTGAATTAAAGGCAGTCAGAATGGATAATTTTACAGGAAGGTCATGCCTGATTAACTTTATTGAATTTTTTGAGAAGGTAACCAGGAGGGTCAATGAGGATATCACATCTGACATAATCCACATGGAGTTAGTAAGGCTTTTCACAAGGTCCAACATGGCAGGCTGGTCAGAAAAGGAATAGTTCCTGGCATGCAAGGGAAATTGTTATTCCAAATTAGGCCGAGTGGCGGGAAGCAAAGCATAATTATTGACAGGTATTTTAATGACTCAAAGACTGCTGACAATGGGCTGGGCCTCCAAAGGGTTCTGCGCCAGGTCTGTCACCTTTCATGAGCTATATCAATTATTTAAATTTAAATGTAAAAGGAATGATCAAGAAATTTGAAGATTATGCAAAAAAATAATTGTAGTAGTTGTCAGTTGGGAATATAGTAGGCTGCAGGGAATAGAAATGGACTGGTTAAGAGGACTGGAAACTGGTAACTGGAATTCAATCTGAAGAAGTGTGAGGTAACGCACTGGTAGGATACTGAGAAATGCAAAGAACCAGAAGTAGATATTTCCTGGGCAACCTACTCAGAGATGTTATTACAACCTCTACAGCAGGGGTTTGAGAACCAGAGGTACAGGAGTGTTTATTCACAAATCCTTAAAGATAAGAGAAGTTTTTGAGAAAATTTAATAGAACATAGAATTAAAAGGCCTAGACAAAGTGAATACAAGAAGCCTATTTCTCTAACAGACAAATTACAGGCAAAGGGGTACAGATCCAAAGAGATTGCCAGCAAAATTCGAGGGAAGTGCAATTTTTTTCCCCATCCAGAGAGTTGTAAAGCTGCAGTGCTATCAGCTCAAATGAATGGTAAATCAAGAAATCCTCATTGCATTTCAAACCTGTATTTAAACATGTATGTGAAGTATTGTAACTGGGCTAGGAACCACGAGCTGGAAAGTGGGTTTAGACAAGATATTTCTCTCAGCTGGCAATACAATGGGCTGTATGACGTCCTCAGTACCATACATTTTCTATGTTTTTATGAAAGGACATTGCTCTAGTGCAATATCTGACACACAGAAGAATATTTCCATTAGTCAGGTACTTACCCTTTAATCAGGGGATCTATGAAGTTTATACAAGAACATAAGGAAAGATATTCATTGCCTGAAGCCCTATAAGACTGAACAGCATGTTAAATAAACATAATATTTTTAAGGAATCTCATTAACCTAACATACAAAACTGTGGAAACGACAGGAAAAAAAAAATCACAAACTGAAAATCACTACAAACAGCAAGATGTTATGAATTTCCCCACGTTATTATTCAACCATGGTCCTGCAGAATTGTAAATGTCAGACAGCTTCATTTACTGAAAATGTGTTTTCACTTACTGCCACTAGAGGACACTTAAAAACCAGTATGGGCACAAGTATCTGTTTATAACTGGTTATGGTCACCATATTACTGTAAATAGACTCCCACACATTGCTAATTGATTCACCATTCCAGTAATTTCCTCTTTCAGAATAGACGTACCTAAGTTATGTGGAATCCTATTCATAGAAACATTTGAAACAGTGATAGCGTTGAAAAAAAAATACCATCACCAAACAGAAATGAAATGCACGAGTTCTAGGAAGCAAAGGTTCATTTAACAAAAGATTCGTTTAATATATCTGATAAGGCAGCATGTCACATTCATTTTACTTGCTAACAAAATAACTGAAATTGATACCAATCATTTAACATACACTACACTGTAAATATCTTTGATTTAAACGTCCCCCCCTTCTCAACAATTGAGATGGGGTGAATATTCAGTTTACGTATAGATTTAAAAAAAACTTTGGTTTTAGTTTCTCCTCTTACACAATTTTGATTAATTAAATCTGTGCAGTTTTTAAAGGCTTAAAAGAAAAAGAATTTTTGACAAAGGGTTTCCTAAACTACAATGAGAGATGACTTCAGAAGAAAATCACCATATTGAATCCAGTCAACTGTAGCGAAACTTTCAGAAAACTGAAAGGTGCCTTTTCAAACTCACAATCATGGGACATACTTCAGGAATTTGAGTATTGCTGTCGACTGACATGACCGTTTGGAAAATCATGGAGCACATTGAAAAATTCTCAATATGCTTTTCGTGTACAAAACTACATGCCAAGAGCAGGTGCAAATTCATCAAATTCCCTATTTTTTAATGTCCATTTTCCTGTTAGACTAGTCACACCTTCACAAAATAGACAGTGTCACAGAGACAGTGAATAGGAGGAAAAACAAACTTGCATTTATATAACACCATTCATAAACACAATGTCTCAAAGTTCTTTACAGCCAGCAAAGTACTTCTGATTGCAGTCCCTGTTGCAACCCAGGAAATGTGCAGCAAGCTCCCACAGATAGCAATGACCAACAATCAGATAACCTTTTTCCTGATGTTGAGTGAAGAATGGATATCGGGTGGAACTCCAAGGACAACTCCCCTGTTCTTCTCTAAAGCAGTGCCATGGGATTCTCTGCGCAGCTTAATAAATGGAGCCTCAGTTTAACATCTCATCTGATTGACTGAATATCCAGCAATGAAGTGCTAATTTCTAGAGTGTGACTTGAACCTGGAATCTTTCGACTTAAAGGGAGTGCTATCAATAGGGCCACAAAACTAACACTAGAAAGATTTAACTGAAACCGAAGGCCAGAAAAATCCCTCTGACAAAATGCTCTGTGACATCCTTTGACAGTTAAGAGATCCTTGAAGAGAGATTTGGTAATAATTCTGTGTTTTTCCACATGCCTAAACCAGAACAGGCCAAAATAGAATTGACTTCCACAGTTTGGTACATAGAATTTATTCATATATTTAATCAACCAGTTTGGACACATTATAATACACTCCCTGAACAGGTGGGCCTTGAAGCTGGATCTTGTGGCCCTACTACTGCACCACAAGAGTTGTTGGTAGAATTTATATTAAAATTCAAAGTATTAGGCAATAAATTTATCTGGTGATATTCTGTGGGCTGGTGCTTGGACTCTCTAATCACTCAACTGCATGTTTTGTACACAACAGTTCTTGGGGTCATTTCTTAATTGATGCAAGAGTTGCAATCTTGAATTAGGTTTTCCATGAAGTGTTTGCAAAAGAGAGGGACCTATCTCATAGCTATAACTCTGAAAAATAAATTGTGCGATCAGCATTTTTTTCATTGCTTGTTCAAAGGCTGCCTAAAGTAAGATGCTGACAAGAGGAAATGAAGATTCAGGAAATGGAATTTGTGGGCAAGAAATGGGAACAATTTTATCATTTAAACCCTTTGACTGTGAAGTGGAGATACTTCATGTGCTGTTGTGGAGCCTGCCCTGCGTGGTTAATCCTAAAAAACAGGTCAATGTCAACTGGAAGAACCAAATTGCTATGTTTGCCCTCGGTAATGTTTATTTACGAGGTGCATCTTAAATTAGATTTCACAAAAGTAATCATAACGTGTGAAATGAACTTACAACCTGGAGAATACTGCTGCAGTTATTAGTAAATGAATACTTGACAGATTTTTATATTTATCAGTTCACCATTCTTAAAGAGATATCTAGTTTAAATTGAGATGACGTCTGTAATGATGAACCAGGACATTTTACATAAACCATTAAATGCTTATCTGGTGATATGATCTATGCTGTCATAACTTTAAGGCTAAATTCCTTAGTGGGTATCATTAAAAGCACAGAAATCACGGGAAAGTGTAACATGTTTTTAAATAATATGTTGTGCAGCATTTTTTCAGCACTACTTTATTAACAGGCAGTAAAATGTTAACATTTTACGAAATATCAAATATGTCAGTTTTACAGTGGCAGTATCAAAGAAGAATACAACATACCTGTTGGTGCAAGACAATCCTTCCAATCAAAATATCCAGCATAAATCCCAGGTTCTAGAGAGCCCACAATTGGATCTGCTTTTAGTTCAATATATGTTTCAAATAGATGCTGGTCCAAGTTCTTTACTGCATCAATGCTAACCTGCAAACATGATATTGCATGACTTCAGAAGGGCTTCCAATGGATAGCTTGGAAAATTAGAAATAAACTCAAACTTATTTTTTTCTGGCAAATAATTGGAAAATAACATACATCAGCAGTACGGCCATGTCTGTGGCCTGTACAGGCAGGTGATGATTTGAATGCATTCCCAGTTTCAAAGTTCAAAAGAATGAAGGGCAAGCATATTAATACAACATAGGGCAAGGAAGATTTGTTTTTTTTAAAATCTGTAGTCAGTCCTCCCCCACTTCCTCAGATTGTACGAATATGCCTAAAGTAACACAAAGAATTATGTATCTTAAAATCTGAAATCAAAATGGAAATTACTGCAGAAACTCAGCAGTTCTGGCAGCATCTGTGGAGAGATCTCCAGTATTTTGTCTTTATAAGAATAGGGAGGCCTTCCTAAAACTATACAAGATACTAGTCACACCTCACTTGGAATACTGTGAAGAATTTTTGCCCTTTTATCCAAGGAAAGACAGACTGGCATTAGAGGCAGCCCAAAGAAACTAGGTTCATTCTCGTAATGGAAGGACTGTCTTACGAGAACCTTTTGAATAGGCTCGACGTGTATTCAATGGAATTTAGAAGAATCAGAGGAGATTTTATTGAAACATAAGATTCTTAGGAGACTTGACAGGGTAGATATAAGGAGGTTGTTTCTCACTGTGGAAAAGTCTAACATCAGAGGGCATAATCTCAGAGCAAGGTGTCAGTGAAGAGGTGGAACTCTTTTCAGTCAAAAGGTAGTCAACTAGTGGAATTCTCGACTGCAGAGGGCTGTCAATATTGGGTCATTCAGTATATTCAAGGCTGAGACAGGCAGATTTTTAATCAGTAAGGGAACCAAAGGTTTATAGGGATAAGACAGGAGAGTGGAATTGAGAATAATCATATCAGTCATTACACATTCAAAAAATGGAATTTCAAAGAGGCATTTTCATTTTCCTATCATAATTTTCTCATCATTATACTTATTTATCTTACACAGATTTAATTTTAACAGCAACAGCATTCACATTAAATACTCAAGGACTTTCGACAAAAAACACTTTCTGCATAACTCTGCTTTAATCACATTTGTTTTCTTTCATATTTGCTCTTCATAAAGCACCTGTCATAATATTTTCCTGTGATGTAAATTGTTTTTAAATTGAATTGTTGCAGCATTAAACTCTGATGAAACAGCCCCAAGTTCTTGTGAAGAATTCTTCCAGAAGAGAGATGATTATGATCTGTATGAACAGGGTTACTAGATATAAAGACTTCAAAATGTTGTAAAGCTAATATTAAGTTCAAAGTCTTATTTACCAATTGAATATTTCTGTTGGCATGTATTATTTTGTGAGAAAAATAAGTGACTAGCCATTCAATTCCTATCTTCTCCGCCTGTAATGAGAGTGCACTAATATTGAATATAAACAGCCAGTTTCAACAGCTTTACCCAATTTGGTGCTGCTGAAAGCAGTGTGGTAGTAAGTACAGCTTTCAAGGCACTGAGACATTCTTGAGTTCATTCAATTTCTTTGCTTTTCTTTAATAAACCTGACAACGGAATCACTACAGTGCTGACTTTTAGAAAACACTTCCAATTCACTCAAAGATAAATGAGAACATTTCTTGTTTCTGTTACAGGCATGGGGAAATCAAAGGTAGTCCTTACATTAGCTTCTCTAGGTGCTACTTGGCTTTGTCCCAGTAAGACCCAAATAAGTGATTTTGCATCAGAAAATTCAATTAACCAAGATTATCATCAAAATGGCTCTTTGTAATCATCCAAATAATTAATTCAAAAGTTGTAACTGTTCCTTCAAGAAACAAAACAGAAATTGCTGGAAAAGCTCTGCAGGTCTGGCAGCATCAGTGAAGGAAAAAACAGAGTTAACATTTCGGGTCCGGTGACCCTTCCTCAGGTTTGGATGAACTCAACCAGGTAATCAATGTATACAACACAGCTGCTTAATCCTTCAATAACCTTGCTGGTTAATTGTTGAAATGTTGCTGGTGCATTTTTCATTCCAAACAGCAAGACTTTACATTGATAAACTTTATCTGATGTTATAAAAGTCAAAATTTCCTTGGCTGTATTAAATCAAAGGAACCTGTGTTCCCCGCGCCCCCCCCACCCCGGCTTTCAACAAGCTAATTTTTGGGAATGAACAGTATTTGTTCAATCTGATCTTGGAACTGAATGTGAAGCCGCCCTTGTTGCCATGTTAATTCTGTGAAAATACACAATCTTAATGATCCATCTGGTTTCAGTACCATCACAAAATATAAGCACCAGCTTCTAAGACTTGGTTCAACAACACTGATATCCATCATGAACTTGACTGCTTCCTTCACTTGCATTAGGCTCTCTTGGTGAGAATGAGTGTATGGTGTTTTATGGGTAATACATCCCCTACATTAACATCACGTGGAACCAAAAACATTTTCCCTGGCCTATTTACACAAACCAATTTGAATTTGTAATAGCTTTTAGAAGTCACTTTGATAGTTTTGTGGGAAATAGCACCCTGTTCCATTTAACTTTCCAAGTACCTCTGTACTATGCAATTTGAATACTGATGGGTCAACATCTAAACTTTTGATTTTTGATTCTTTTTCAAATCATTCTGATATTTTTACTTCACTCACTATTTCTTCCAACACTGTAAACACTGTAAACTTCTCTCCTGACTATCCTTCTGGTCACAGTATCGCTTTACCGTAAAAACCCGATACACTTTCTGATGCTCACTCCTGGTTTTAGTAGAGATTCTGCACAATCTATTAAGACCCTTCGAAACGGTTCTTCTAAGGCTGGTATCAGAATTAAAGACAGATTTAACTGATGGTTGAAGTTTTCCCTCTACCGGCCATGTATTTATGGTAAAATTTCACCAAATCTTTACATAATCTTGGCTAATATGAATGTTTTATTATTTTATCCTGTGTTTTCCTAACACATCAGCATTGGAACTTTGAGTCCTTCATAACATGTTGCGATGATACTCAAATGGGACTACCACCTTGATTGACTATTGCCAATTTTTCATCAGCTGCTGTTTGAGGTAGTCTCCATTTCCTCATTAACTCTGTGCTTTTAAAAATATAACTCTGAATTTTAAGAATTACCAATTTCTGAGTAGGCTGCTTGATACAGCTCTCACAAATCAAAATTCATCTATTACATTTTGATTAAAGAAGACAGATTAAACACGATGGGCTCATTCTTTTTTTCCTTCAACCTTCTTCACAGAATACCATAACTGGTATAGTCAGAAAGAGGCCATTCGGCCTACTGTGTCTGCCCAAGGTTGAGTGGGTCTCTGGTCTTCTCGCTGTAAAGTACTTTTGAATGATGCAACTGAAGCTGCCTCCACCATGTTTCTCAGCAGTGTTTTCCAGACACTAACTACTTGCTGTGAGATTCTTTTTTCTCATCATTTCAGATTTGTTTATTCTACAAAACATTTTAAAAACATGCCCTCCAGTTCTTGGTCCAGTTAGGAGTGGGAACAATTTGTTCCCTATTGTCAAGCCTCACTGTGGTAGTGTACTGGAAATCAAGCTCAGCTATTCTTGAAGTTGTCACAAAAATTAGGCTTTTTAATCAAAGTTTACAAAGTTCTCTATTTTATCTGACCTTTTGATCTAGGTTGACTGAAATCAAGGACCAGAATTCGGTACCTAACAAAAATACTATATATTACAACAGTTTTCAGCTATATTTAAACAATTTTGAAGTGTTGACGTATACCTCTAGCACTTAAAACTCTATCCCTTTTAAAATTCTCCCTGTCCACACACAATTAGCCACAAACAGACGTCATTGATGTTACGGGTACAGGAAACACCGTGAAGGCAGTTCAATGGTCCCTGTCCACAGGATTTGCTAAGCTGATACATTTGCTTGTCAGGGCTTACTGATCGTCAATTTCTCTCTGTGTCTCCTGTCTCTAGCCATTTTCCACTTCCTTACAGGAGACACACAGTGACTGGTTCATGAAATCTAAAGTCTCTCACTTATTGGTTAAAAATACATCTAACAGCAAACAGTAGGCGAAAATATATGGACTTTCTTCGAGGTTCAGATATTTTCTACTTCATAGAGGAAGACAGCACCTCATTTTCTGGAGGTCAAATGCTTCCAACACTATCATTTACATCCACAAACTGTTCAGCTATCTGGAAGTTACTCGCAGGGTTAATGGCAGGTAGAGGACTTTGACATCAACAACTGATCACCACTCCACAGATCAATCAGCTACTTATTGCTAGTGGAATCTCCCTTTACAGACACACAGCGACTCTAGTTCATCTGCAGTAAGCACTGCCGAATATACTTGAACAAACAGCACTTATGATGAGTGCTGCTAACCTGCTTTTAAAAAGTACAGTAATCCCTCTCATAATTCTTTGTTTTTAAAATAGCCATTTTCCCATTTCAGTCCACAATCAAAGATACACAAAAATTGTCTTTACACTACCCAGTCTGTCCAGACCCTTCATGATTTTGAAAACTTCTATCAGCTCTGCTTTTAGCCATCTCCTCCCCTAAGGAAAACAGTCCCACTTCTACAATCTATTGCCCTTACTGAAGTTCCTCATCCCTGGAATCATTCTCATAAATATATTCTGCACTTTCTTCGGTGCACTCACATCCTTCCTAAAATATGCCACCCACAATTGTGCACCATACTCCATCTGCAGTCTAACTAGTGTCCATACCATTTCATCTTCATCTCCCTATTCTTTTATCCTGTGCCTCTGCTAATGAAGCCTATAATACTATAGGCTTTATTAACTGCTCTCTGCAGCTGTCCTTTGATGAATTACACACATACACACCCAGATGTCTCTGCTCCTGTATACCTTTTAGATTGTACTCTTTATATTATGCTGTCTCTCCAAGTTCTTTGCACCAAAATACATCACCTCATACTTCTCTGCAGTGAACTTCTTCTGACAAAATGGAGTGGCAGACAACG